GGGATGGAGAAGAGTATGGAAAGACTTGAGGCATGGAGTCCAATCAGCAGGCTACTGCAAACAGCCAAGTGGGGAGGTGATAAGAGCCTACACTAGCATGGTGGCAGTGCGAGAGGAAAGAAGGGAGCATATGTGAAACATGTTATGAAAGAAGGTAGAAATGACAGGACTTTGTAACTGATTGGATGTGGCGGGAGGGGGGGTAAGAGAGAATGAAAGAGTCAAGGATGACACCTAGGGTTTGAGCCTGGGTGACCAGAAGGATGAAGAAGGGAGGGCTTGAGGGGATAAGATAATAAACTCAGTTTTGGACATGTGGAGTTTAAGGTGTCAATTGCAGTTGCAATTCAAGATGCCTAATATGCAGTTGGAGATGTGACACGTAAGGTAAAACGAGAGAGGTTTGGGCTAGATAAATAAATCTGAGATTTTAGCATACAGATAACTGAATCCATGGGAGCTGATAAGATCACCAAGTGCATATGGGAACCCTAAAGTATGAAGGGCATCAGCAGATTGAGTGTCTCATACTGATGAAATCTTAGCTCTCTGAAGTACTGAAGAGTTTAAGTAAAAAGAATAAAAATTAAGAACCTTTTGATCATCACAATGTAATCTTTCTTGTATTCCTTAACAGGATGTTTGGCATTTTGTAAGGTACCTTACATGTGTCTTTAAGACAAAGAGGAAAAAGAGACTAGTATGAGTTATTTCAAGAAGATAAAGGAATTGACATTTTGCTCACAAAGAATGCACACTTACTGAATTTTAAAATGCCAATAATCTGGATGACCTAATACACTGTTAGATGCAAAAAGATGCTTATTGTTTGACTGCCTGACTATAGATCCCCTATGGTCACCTGGTGGTGAGCTCAGCCAAACTTAACTAGGCTGGTTCTTCAGCAAAAGACTTTATTGGTCTGTTATTTTAAAACTCAGTTTGAGGGAATCTTCCAGTACTTGCACTTGGCCAACATAGCCTTCAGTGGCTTAGGTTCACCTCTGTGCCATGTGAAGGGCTAGATTAGATCTTCAGAGGTGTTTAATTCTTACTACAGTGAAATTAATTTAATGGAGAACACTCTATTTTGCCTCATGCACAACCTGTCTTTATTTAAAGACCAGACAAATTACTTTTCTTCAAAGCAAAGATTTTAAAGATCTTGACAGTTTGGATTTTCTATGGGTTGAAGCTAAAATAAAAATAATAAACATTAAAGTCATGCACTTTGTTTAAAAAAAAAAAAACAACAAAACACCTCTCATACAAATAGAGAATGGTAGAGAACTGGCTCAACAATAGTTGGGGGGTGAACCACAGAGGGGGAAGAGGGATTTCTGCTCACTCCAAGCTTGGAACACTTTGTGAGGAAGTCTTCAGATATAACCTGAAAAACTACCTTCTACGTGGGGGAGTTCGGAGGATCTCTAAGGTCCCTTGACAATTTCATGTTCTATAACATGATTCTGCTCCAGAGAAGGTAAAGTTGAAAAGCTGGACTGGAAGACCACAAAAGAATATTGTAGAGTTGAGTCCCTTCTATTTTCACTACTAAGAAAATACTGTCATCCAGGTGCCACAAAAAATGCAACCCTGTTAGGCAGGAAGGTATAGAATGTCCTGCGGTGCCAACATGGCCAGTCCTGCAACTGCAGAGATGTTCTGGTACCTTTCTCAGAAATTTATGTACTTCTGGCACTGTGCCTGAACTACCGGTATGCAAAGGGGACCATGCTGTTTACAGCAGCATAGATAGTCGCTCAGGTAAAGCAGTAACAACTATTTCTGCTGTGCTCAGTGTGGGGAGGATTATAGGGAAGAGTGCAACCTCTGCTGCTCCCTGAAGTTTGCCAGCACCATCACTTAAAAGGTATGGGGGAAGTGAGGGAGCAGAAGAAAGCCACTCACTGTGCCGCTGGTGTTCTCCTGTGATCTGAGAAAGCAATTAACTGGGTAAGTGAAAGATTTTAGCGTTTGGGCTTGGATGAGCATTGGGTGTGACATCTGATTAAGAATTTTTTTGATAGTGTTTCCAAGTTGAAATCAGAAAACAGAAAACTTTTCGATTGAACATTTCAAGGAATTATCTGACATCAGAAGACTAGTGTTCAAATCCTGGTTCTACTACTTACTAGTTGGGTTACCTTAGGCAAGTCCTTAACATTTCTGGGCCTCAGTTTCCTCACCCGTAAAATTAGGAATGGAGCTACTAAGTGCAAGGAGGGAATACCCCATATTTAGGATCACAGGCTAGACCTAAAAACTAGAAGGAACCTAAGAGGTCATCCAATTCAAACCCCTCATTTTATTTATGTATTTATTTATTTTTTGTGAGGCATTTGGGGTTCAGTGACTTGCCCAGAGTTACATAGCTGGTGAGTGCAAACCCCTAATTTTAGAGAGGAAGAAACTGAACCTCTGAGAAGTCAGATAACTTGCTCAAGGCCATATTCAGAAGTAACTCTAAATTGATCCTATATACAGATGATTGGGGGAGGTTGCATAATGTTTTTCTGGAAATTTAAGAATAGCTAATTTTTTTAGGGTGCCTTAAATGAGCAGAGAGTTAGACTAGTAAAATCAACCAACAAGCATGTATTAACTGCCTACTTTAGGATATTATAAAGGTATGTCAAATATAGAATCTCTAACAACAATATACATCTAACTAAAGTCATATTATTTAGTCATAATAACTAAAGTCATTTCTGGTGAGGTAACAGGTCAAATGCAAGTATTAATTTGTGCGCTAAGGTTTTGTTCCTAGCCTACTTTACTCATTATCAGAATATATTCTATATTAGTAAATACTCTTGGAAAGCAGAATTTGTTTATACCTTTCAAAATCTTAACTTCAATGTCATCAATACATGTTTACAGAATATAAAAATATGGTTATATTTTTATACTTCAGAGTATTTGTGGATTGGTAAATATTATGTAATTTTATGTTAAAAGAAAACTAGACCAAGAAGGATATAGAGAAACAAGCAAAGACATTATGTACCTGAGCACAGAGGGATGGCATACAGATAAGCAGGGAGACTAGGTGCAGTGGAACCAGAGAACTTGTCTATTCGAAATTTTTTTTCTACAGACCTATAAGAAATATCCTATCTTAAGAAACAAAATACAAAGATCTGGGAAGAATGGAGATACGAAGTGCAAGGAGGGAATACTCCATATTTAGGATCACAGGCTAGACCTAGAACTAGAAGGAACCTAAGAGGTCATCCAATTCAAACCCCTCATTTTATTTTATTTATTTATTTATTTACTTTTGTGAGGCATTTGGGGTTCAGTGACTTGCCCAGACTTACATAGCTGGTGAGTACAAACCCCTCATTTTAGAGAGGAAGGAACTGAACCTCAGAGAGGTTCAATAACTTGCTCAAGGCCACACTAGAAGAAAATCATAGGCAGAATGTGAACCCAAATTCTCTGACTTCAGAGCCACTCAAGGACAGGTGTAACTGCAACAGAAGGGGAAAATGAGAGGTCAAGCTGTCTGGTAGAAGACACAGAGAGGGGAAGAAAATGGTCCAATGAGGAAAGAAGAAATCAAGTTGGAAAATGAAGAGATGTTGAAAAAAGTGAAGAAAAGGAGTAGGAAAGAAACAAGGATCCAAAGATGGGCACAAGAAATAGAACAAAGGAGACTACATGAGTGTGGGGAGGGAGGGAGAAGCCTGTGCTAGCCCATATGAAGCCTCTGGTCAGTATCTGTTAAACTGCTGGAGATAATTCTCAGTTCTAGGAGTCTGTATTTTCTCTACTGTTGGAACACTGAAGGTTTGACCTATTTCTTCACTATTACCAATCTATTCCACTTGGGTCCCTCTATGCTCAGTTTCTCTACGGAAAGGGACAAGAGTTTCTAGGAAGTCTACCCCTACCTTACCCTGCTGGCTCTGGAACAGTTATATGGGGCTTCCTTAAGTTTATTAGGGTTTGTTTTTTTTTTTTAAATGCTAGTTAGCATGGTACAGGGGGCATGGGAGCCTTAAAATAGTTAAAAAGAAGAGAGACTGATAGGCCCTATAGGAAGGGGCAGCAGTAATAAGAGAAATGAAAACTACTTTCCCTGAGGAAGAGAGAAAAGACTTGGAACCAAAAGATATAGCTAGATTAAAAAAGACCTGGCCACTGATTTCATGGGGTGTTGGAGGGGACTAGAAAGATGAGACATATAAGATCCAAGAATACATAAACTTTAAGGCACACTCAAACTAGATTCTAGGAACCGTTGCCCTCCATTCCTCCAACAGTTGCCAGAAAGTGCTGTAACCTGTAAAGCAGAATAGATAACTTACATAAACACAGAATGTCAAGAGTACAAAGGAATCCAGAGATCACCTAGACCAACATACCCTTTTTTCAGAGTTGGAAAACTCTTCGTGCTCAGCCTTCTAAAAAGCCCAACTCATACCAGAAAAAAAAGGACACACCCCTCCTGAAATAAACAGAAGTGGTCCCAGAGCTTTTCCTTGAAAAAGTTCAGTGACCCATCCAAACGTCCCAGTTAATAAAGTGGCAAAGCCTGTATTTAAGACCAAAGTCCAGCGTCCCTTCAACTAAACTGGGTGTCCTATATTGCACTAAGTCTTTTGGGACATCCTGTAGAGCCCAGTGGCAGCTCCCTCCTCTACATGATCCCGAGACCTTTGGTTTGAACTCTCTGGGTCTGTGTCTCATAATCTGTAAAAGAGGACCGGACGACGTGACCCGTGGGGCATCTCCCAGATCTGCTCCCAGTGCCCCGCACTGGCCAGCTGGGGGAACGTCCCTCCTGCTCCCCGGCTCTCAGTTTCCCTATCTGTAAAACGCTGAGCCTGGGCCTATGGTCATCCTATAGGGCCGCCTAGAAAAGCCTCCAAGTCCCGAGCCTGGGCGGGGCGGGGGGCGAGGGCGGCGGCGAGGCTCTGCCGCGTCACTTCCGCTCCCTGGGCCTCAGTTTCCCCGGCAGGCGGCCGCCGCGGCTGGGGGGCGGGCGCTACCTGTGCAGCGGCGGCAGGTCCTGCGCGTCGCTGGCCGGGTCGGGGGTGTTGGGGATGACGCCCAGGATTGTGCTCTGCAGCGACGTGCCCTTGAGCAGGCGGCTGCGCACCAGCTGCAGGTTGCGGGCCGAGTCCACGCTGGTGCGCATCGTGGAGCCGGGCAGCAGGACGCCCTCGTGGGTCAGCAGCAGGGGCAGCCGGCTCGGGATCTGGATCGCGCTCACGGACGACATGGCCGCGGCCAGCCGGCCCTCCGGGGCCGCGATGCCGAGTCTGAGAGGCAACTGCGCGGGCGAGGCGAAGGTCAGAGCGGAAGGGGACGGGTAGTGTTGGACCCGAGGACAGCCGCGGGCAGCCACAGCTGCTTCCGCCCCCGCGCTACGGGCCGCGGTACGGCTCAAGCCCCGCCGCCGCCGCCGCCCCTTCGCGCCGCCTGCCCCCTGCTGGGACTCCGAGGCTGTGGCAGCGCTGCGCTGCAAGCTGCAATCGCCGTAATTATCCTAATAAAAGAAGCGGAATTTCAAAATGCCCGAGCGGGGAGTGATCTTAGAGGTTATCCAGTCTAGTCACCTTCATTTTAAAGTGGAGAATAGTGAAACCCAGCAAGGGATTTGCCAAAGATTATACATATATTAATTAAATATTGGAGTTGGGTCTTGAAGCAAAGTGACTTATCTAGCGTGTTTGCTACTGTGTCACGACTTAGTCAATGAACATTAAAAGCCTACTGTGTGCCAGTTTTGTGCTAAGCGCTGGACCTGCTAAGGAAGGCAAAGACAGCCCCTGCTGTCAAGGAGCTCACAGCCTGCTGAGAGAGACACGGGAGTGTGCTGGAGTCAGCTGTATTTTCCGTGTGAGCATTTACATCTCAGAAATTGGCAATCAACCACAATTCAAGACTCCGTTTATTGTTTTGTTGATTGGCTAGATTTAAGAAAGTGTTAATGCAAATTATACTTAAAGATGGATGTACATTCATTTCCCCTCTCCCCTTGTTAATCATTTCCTAGCACACCCCTCTATGGCTTGAATTAAGCAAGAATGAGTGCTTTATAAGGCTCAGGGAATGAAATCACCAAATTGGAGGCCAAGAATAATAATAATAATGATACTTGACATTTATATATTGCTTTTAAGTTTGCAAAGTGCTTTGTATCCATTATCTTTTGAGCCTCACAACAACCCTGGAGAAAAAAACATGCAGACAACTATAGGCAAACTTCTGAGATAGTGTAGGTTTAGTTTTAAACCACCAATGCAATAAGCAAGTCACACAATTTTTTTGTTTTCCTTTGCATTTACAAGTTATGTTTACACTATACTGTGGTCTATAAAATGTGTAATAGCATTATGTCTAAAATTAATGTACCAACCTTAATTAAAAAATACTTTATTGCAAAAAAAAAAATGCTAACCATCATCTGAGCCTTCAGCAAGTGGTAATCTTTTTTCTGGTGGAGGATTTTGCCTCCGTGGAGATGGCTGCTGACTGATCAAGGTGGTGGTTGCTGAAGGCTGGGGTGGCTGGGGAAATTTCTTAAAATAAGACAACTAGGAAGTTTGCTGCACCTATTGACTCTTCCTTTCACTTGAACACTTAGAGGCCATTGTAGGATTATTAATTGGCTTAATTTCAATGTTGTTGCAGTCAGGGAATAGGGAAGCCTAAGAAGAGGGAGAGAGACCAGAATGGCTGGAGGGCTGGAGCAGTCAGAATACACACAACATTAATCAGTGAAGTTCGAGGCCTTATATGGGAGTGATTTGTGGTGCCCCGAAAGAACTACTATAGTAACATCAAAAATCATTGATCACAAATCACTATAATAGATATAATAATAATGAAAAAGCTTGAAATATTGTGAATTACCAAAATGTCACAGAAACAAGATGTGAGCACATACTATTGGAAAAATGACACCAATAGACTTGCTCAAGGCACAGTTGCCACAAATCTTTAATTCATAAAAAAAAAACCCCACAATTATCTGCAAAGTCCAATAAAGCAAAACACAATGAAATGAGGTATGCTTGTATGTACAAACAATATATACAGTATAAAATGGGGGTAATCAACAGAGGGAAGGCACTAACATTAAAAGGGACTGGAAAAGGTTTTTGTAGGAGGTGAAATTTTAGCTGGGAAGGAAGTCAATAGGTGGAAGTAAAGAAGGAAAGAATTAAAAGCCTGGGAGAATGGACTTCATTAGATTTTATAGCTGGGAGGGACCTTAGAGAATATCTAGTCCAGGGGTGGGGAACCTGCAGCCTCGAGGCCATATGTGGCCTTCTAGGCCCTCAAGCATGGCTCTTTGAATGAATCCAAACTTCACAGAACAAACCCCCTCAATAAAAGGATTTGTTTTGTAAAACTTGGATTCAATCAAAAGGCCACACTCAAGGACCTAGAAGGCCACACGTGGCCTTGAATCTGCAGGTTCCTCAACCCTGATACTAGTCCAACCCCCCTCATTTTACAGAAGGGCACACTGAGGTCTAGAGACAAGAAAGTGACTTGCCCAAGGTGACACAAGGTACTCCCTATGCAGACCCAAGACTCAAATCCAGGACCTCTGATTCCAAGCTCAGGGCTATTAGGGGATGTTGGGTCTTGCAATATAAAGAACATTGGTGAAGGGAATCAGAGTTCCATTCCTCCCTGCACTTATTCACTGTGTGACCTTGGACATGCTACCTTACTTCTCCAGACCCCAGTTTCCCTTTCTGGAAGATGAAGATAGTAATATTTGTACCACCTACCTCATGAGGCTGTTGAAAGAAAAATGCTTTATAAATATTAAAGCACAATGTAGGTGAGATATTACATCAAGCATCTGGTCTTTGACCCCTTCTCCCCCAACCCTCCATCAGCAAGAGAGAGCCATTACAAAGCCAGGCCCTGGAAAGGGGAGGCAGCCTGGCAGTGATGAAAGGGGAGCTTTACATGTGCCCTGTGGGGTTTGAGTTGGGAGCTATGGGTATAAAAGTGAGTTTCAAGATATAAATTTGACTCCTAGTTCTAGTGGTAGGTTCTGAGTTAGGAAGAGGTGGTGAGAACTAGGGAAACTACAAGATGATCTAGTCCAAATTCCTCATTTTATAAGTAAGGAAAACAAGGCCCAGAGCCACAGATGACTTGATAATGCTGGGATTAGAATTTAGGTTTGACTCCTGGTCCAAGGTGCTTTCCACATCACATTAAGCACAAGTTAATCAGGTTTTTTCCCAAAGCAGCACCTGTCTGTACTGTTTACTTAGCCACATGCAAATGCACCCACCTCTACACAAACTTTACATAAATTTATACATAAAATGCTACCCTTGTGATCCTTCCCTCTTGGCTTCCTATTATATAACCTTCAGCTTTAATCTAGAAATGGAACTAAGTCTTATCCAACCTTTTTCACTTTTGTGGCCTAGATCAGGGCTCTGCACACAATGGAATCTTAATGAATGTTTACTGAATGAATGAATGAATGAATGAATGAATGAATGAAAGCGAGGATAAGGAGACGACCCAGTTCTGTACATCCCTATCCGGTTCCTTTCATTGTAAAGGCAACCAGACTATTGTTGAGTTGGGATGGGATACACTAAAGATTCCTCTCTGTCATTTCAGCATCTTTCATTCCAGGAAAGAAAGAATTGGCAGAACTGAGTGAAAATGCCCAGGAGAAGGAAAGACTGGGGTCCCAACCCCATGGGTGGCTCTATAAACCTTGGAATGGACATGGAGGACAGCATGGTTTATGGCCTTACCTACGTAAGAATGCCCTGGTCCCTGTTGCCACACAGCAAGTAGCTTCTATGCATGCAGGGAATCCTGTAATTGGGTTACTTTTACCAAGGCTGGTCTGATTTATAGACTTTTTAAGCTAGAAGGGACCTTGAAGAACATCAAGCCCACCTCTTTATTTTTCAGATGGGGAAAGTGGGACTCAAAGAGGATAAGCTCACATGATCACAGAATCACAGTTTGGAAGGAATTTAACCCCCTACTCCTTCTTCAATATCTCCAATAAACCCCTCTTTGAATATCTCCAGTGACAGGAAACATTCCTTCCAGAAGCAGCATATTCCATTTTAATTGTTAGGAAGATTTTCTCTTTATCAAGCCTAAATCTATTTCTCTTTTACCCTCTCCCCTAGTTTGTTACTATGAGATCAAAGGAAGCTATTCCTTTCAAAAAAATTTCCATGAGGGGCAGCTAGGTGGGGCAGTGGATAGAGCACCAGCCCTGAAGTCAGGAGGCCCTGAGTTCAAATGTGACCTCAGACCAAACACTTGACACTTACTAGCTGTGTGACCCTGGGCAAGTCACTTAACCTCAATTGCCTAAAAAAAAAAAAATTTCCATGACTTTTCATGGTATCGAAAATGACATCATCAGTAGTTCATTCCTTTGGTTTACAATTGCAGTCTCTAGGCTCAGCTTTTAAAATGCAAATATTCACAGTCCCAGTAATTTTGCAAGTGGGGCAGCTAGATTGTACCATGGATGGAGTGCTGGGCCTGGAATCAGGAAGACTCCTCTCCTGGAATTCCAATTTAGCATCAGAATCTTATTAGCTATGTGACCCTGGGCAAGTCACTTAATCATCAGTTTCCTTATCTGTGAAATGAACTGGAGAAGGAAATGGCAAACCACTCCAAGAAAACCCCAAATGGGGTCACAAAGAGTCAAACACAACTGCAAAAACAGCAACAACTTTGAGTGTGTGAGTAGATCAGATCCTTTCCCCTGATGGGTGGGGACGTTAAGGTAATAGAATGATAAGGCACTTAATGCTTGTTAAAATGGATTGGATTCTTGCATATTAGAGTCTACTTTGGAAGAGGCCTTAGATAATACTTAGAAATTGTTATTATCTAAGGCCTATTCCTTACTTAGAACTCTGAAGTTTATGAAACACAATCGCCACAAAAAAATATTCTGAAGCAGGTCTGTATTACACAGGATAGGCACGGTGATTTACCACAGTTACAAAATTAGCAAGTGTCAGGATGACTCAGTCCAGTGGCCTTTATACTAAGCCACATTACCTCATTGCAGAGCAAGATGTAGAGATACTCATTGCATTTCCCCAGGACAATTCTTATATGGGGAAAAGGGGGGTGGGAATGGCAGATGGGACTCATAGAAATGTATTCATAACTTCACACTTTTATTTTCCCCAAGAAAAAATTCACCCTTGGAGATAGTTATTGGAGCCCAGGGCCTCATGACAAGCCAGAAGCACAGAAGGC